ACCTGTTTATAAGGTGTCCCCTACCCTACAGACACACCTGACCATGTATATCTGTGGTAGCTGTTCATAATTATAAGGTGTCCCCTACAGACACACCTGACCATCTATACCTGTGTTAGCTGTTTATTAGGTGTCCCCTACCCTACAGACAGACCTGACCATGTATATCTGTTGTAGCTGTTCATAATTATAAGGTGTCCCCTACAGACACACCTGACCATCTACACCTGTGTTAGCTGTTTATAAGGTGTCGCCTCCCCTACAGACACACCTGACCATCTATTCCTGTGGTAGCTGTTTATAAGGTGTCCCCTACCCTACAGACACACCTGACCATGTATACCTGTGATAGCTGTTCATAATTATAAGGTGTTCCCTACAGACACACCTGACCATCTATACCTGTGATAGCTGTTTATTAGGTGTCCCCTACCCTACAGACACACCTGACCATCTATACCTGTGGTAGCTGTTTATAAGGTGTCCCCTACCCAAAGACACACCTGACCATCTATACCTGTGGTAGCTGTTTATAAGGTGTCGCCTACCCTACAGACACACCTGCCCATGTATACCTGTGGTAGCTGTTTATTATGTGTCCCCTACCCTACAGACAAGCCTGACGATGTATACCTGTGGTAGCTGTAATATTAGTAGTTTTGTTGGGAAAACAAATTTGTTATTTGGCTTTGATTATGATAAGATGAACTCCCAAAGTTGGCACCCGGGAGCGGGTTGTTCCAGAGCTTAATGCAATGAATTTGCATTTGCCCCATGCTGAATTTGGTCATATTGGTATCATATATGTCTACTGCTTAGTACATTGTCTGTTCACTTAGACTACAAGTGTTTGCTGACATCAACACAAATATATACTATAATGGCATACAGAGTCTTACTATGTTACCTACATACACACAGTGTACATACAATGCTGCTATTTTTACATTGAACATAGGAGTTATTGTTTTTAAAGTTCATAGATCTCTACCTCTGATATAGCGTTTACAAATGCTTAGGTAGACGGGCTGAGAATTCCAGGTGAACCGTGGTGTGGATGAAAGCAGCTTTAAAGCTAGAGAGAACCTGTGCCTTTTCTATGTATATCTACGGTACACCGTCTGACAGTTTGGATATGTACTGGAAACCAATTGTGATAGATATATTTATGGAGGAAGTAATTTGAATGCCCAGAATTCATCCTTATAACTACCAGTTTGAGATCCCAGGGACTGGTTTCCTTTTGCCTTAGTTGAGTGGTCCAGATATCAATGTTCAATCACATCCGTTAATATGCAGCAGTGACTGCAAATAGGTATATAGAATAATCAAATATTTGCCATAATTAGCACCCAGGGAGCTAGAAAAGTTGACAGAAGGGCGACTTATAAACGTAACAAAACAAAAGTTGTGGCACCTAAACTCTGTAAAGATGACATAACTATCAGACACATTCCTAAGAAGAAATTCCATTTTTTTTTCTAAAACAGTGGAAAAAAGTCTTGTGAATTCCTTAGATCGTAGATCTAGAGTCGGATACGAAGTACTGTATAATGACATAGTTTGGAACCACAGAGGGCTAAAATGCAGGGTAGGTTTGGAAATAAGGGCATTTATTTCAATTTCAATACGTGTCAAAATAGTTAAAGGGGTGCTTGTATCTGCAGGGGCTTTAATTCAGCAAATACAGTACTGAGTACATTGAGGACATCCTGTTTTACCCAAACTAGGTACATAATGATATCCAGCACCTGTTGTTATAACTGTTATAGCATGTGTTCCCTTAACTCATTCACCCCTGGAGACACATTTGAACTCTTCCAATTCATAGGTTGGAACAGTCCATCATGAAATTTCAGGGGTGTATGCGACACATATATGTTTTGAAACAGGACTTACCCTGTTGTAAATTTATTCTAGCTATTTATATATAGGTCTTCAAATGATATCCTGCCAATAAGTCATGAAATACAGTTTCGAAATGAAAATATTAAAAAAAATACTAGTTAATTATCAAAAGGATGTTAATTACTTTTGATAATTGATGAATGAATTCTCTCTAGATGATAATTGTATATTGCCAAGGATAATAACATTAGTCCTGATACCGTGTATTACAAAAAATGCTACGCACAAAGTTTTATTTCTAAAAGGTTTCTGATAAGTTTTTTCAAACTTAATTGTCAGGAGGCTTTTTATCTTTATTAATAAGGCTTTCATATATTTGAAACAGGTCGTGAGGCTAACGAGGCAATGTTAATACATGTATATATGACTAGCTAGAAGCCGTCGATTCATAGTAACTATATCATAACTTTCTTCTGATAATTTAAATGCAAAGATACCAAAAAATACAAGTCAGTTATCAACAACATGCAATAATGAGTTCAATTTTAATTGAATACAAAAAGAAAATACCATCTTGTAAGTTGTAAACAAATGCATTAAATAGGCCTAATGGACAAACACAAGTCTGTGTTATATCAAAGACAGTACATGTCATTGAAGAAGATAGGGTTACCCCTATATCTGTAATTTGACTTTGGAGATGGCCTAATGATTCATTCCTCCATGTAATTCAACATTTTACCCATAGATATATATGTAACATCATTCCATTGAAATCAATATACACATCTTGTAAGATTAACTGTGTTGTTTAAGACAGAAAACCTATACTTCATGTAAAACTGAGACAACCCTATATTGGTAGCAGTTTGTGATGTTATACCTACATGATGTAAAAGCTGTTCAGTCATACTGGTAAGAGTACCCAGGCACAACACTACATTTCTATCATTTTATGGTTTATATTTCATTTCTCTTACATTCCGGTGTCAATTTCAGCTGAAACTGCAACCTCACAGTACAATGTATTAGATATTCACATTTAGTGTTAGTTTCCAGCATCATATATATATACCCTGGTATATTTGTGAACAAACTGCATTATATACTTGTAAAGCTTTAGTAGATCGGTACTGTGATAATAAAGTTTAGAAATACTGGTACTATAATCCTCAACTATGGCAGCTGATTCACAATGATGGATTTTTTTTATACGCCCGTCGAAGACGGGGACGTATTATGTTATCACGTGAGCGGGCGGG